AAAACTTTGAATAAAAATTGGCCAAATGTTTGAAAAGATAGAAAATTCTCAATTTTGGCAAAAAATGTTGTTTTTTTCGTCCTAAAATTAAATCCTACTATATATCCTACTATACAGGGTGTCCCAATAAAAAAGGTCACGCTGGCATTTTGCTATTTCAAATCCAATCGACTTGAAATTTTGCACAGAGGTGCGGAAGGTAATTTAAAATGTTCACAGAAACTTTCAGCCCGATCGGTACAGTATTTTTCGAGTTATTGTAAAAATACTGTTTTTCCCACACTTTAGCTTCATTTTTTCGGCTATCTTTTTGGACTTTGCATCAATTAACATAAATTTCCGGCTCTAAATCCCTTATTCTTCTTAACATTGGCGTCGTTAGCCCTTGTTAAAAAAATACTTAAATAGCCTATTTTCGACCCGAATTTTGCGAAATAAAAAAATCCTAGGATAAAAAAGCGTCGGCGCTTCATTTTCTCCATACATTCCAGGGCTCAATTCCGGCGGAATCCAGGTGAAAAACGTAAAACAAAGTTTATTTTTGCTATAACTCGAAAACTACTGTACCGATCGGGCTGAAAGTTTCTGTGAACATTTTAAATTCCCTTCCGCACCTCTGTGCAAAATTTCAAGTCGATCGGATTTGAAATAGCAAAATGCCAGCGTGACCTTTTTTATTGGGACACCCTGTATATAAAAAAATAGTGTTTGTGTGTGTGTGCGTGTGTGCCACTTTGCATCCACTTCCGTCTGTCTGTCCGGAGGATATCTCGCTAGGGGATGAATTTTAAGCTATTTATGATACGTCATTAGGTGCGTAATGGCCTCAAGATGACTGCACGCTTAACAGATTCACTAAATTCACCTATTTTCGACATTAAATTTAAGCTTTGTAAAAACCTTTTTGTTAGAAATAGTTAGCATAGACCGGAAGTGGGCGATCGCCTATATAAAGAGGCAGAAGGGCTTTTTTCATTTTTGTCATCAGAATGCAAGATAATTATGCAAAGGTTTAGGATAAAATGGGGTCAGACGGGGCCAGGGTTGAAAAGTCGCGTAGCGACTTTTCAACCCTGGTATATATATAAAAAAATAGTGTCTGTGTGTGTGCATTTGCATGCAACTTCCGTCAGGTTGTCCGGAGAATATCTCAAGAGGGGAAGGGCCTTAAGCTATATTTGATACGCCATTAGGTGCGTAATGGCTCCAAGATGTCTGCACGCTTATCAAATTGTGCAAATTGTTCGAATTTTGACATTAAAATCAAGTTTTTGTTGAAAAATAGGACACCCCTCTTTGTTAGGAAATAGTTAGCATACGCCGGAAATGGCGATAGCCTATATAATCGGAAAGAGGGAGCGTCTTTTCGTTTTTTCGTTATCGGGATTCAGGAAAATTATGTAAGGCGAAGAACATTGTAGCGTCAGACGGGGCCAGGGTTGAAAAGTCGCGAAGCGGCTTTTCAACCCTGGTTTTTTACTAAAATCGGTAAAGTTTTGATGCTCAGGCATAGTTTGAAAACAATGTACAAACGCATCCGGAAATTGTTGACAAAATCTGTGCTTGCGCCAGGCGGATTTTGACTACCCATAACCGCCGATAAGTTCGTTCGGGATGGTTCAAGGGAAAGAGCGTACTGTACGTGTTTTTCGCGCGTTGCGTGCGGGTGCGCGGAATAGCAACCGGTTTTTAGCTGGGCAGGCCTGCTTTCGCAATTGCGCGACGCGTCTATCGCACGCGATGCGGTCTTCCCTCCTTTCCAAAGCCACCGGACGTTTTATTGGGAGCCGGGCCGCTGTGTACCTGAATTTCCGGTTGACACGATGTACAGGGTGGGTCAAAAAAAAAGCCAATTTTGCGCCATATTATCTCGCGAACGGTAGAGAATCGAAGGTACGTTACCATGCCAGAATGCTTAAATATGCTGGGCATGAAGATTTAACACAAGTTGATTTTTTCGATTTTTAAGTACGCAACTGTACTATTGACGCTGATTACGACCGAAAATTGTGCGTTCTTGAACGGGTGGTGGGAAAATTCTGATTTTTGGCCCAAAAATCGTTGGCACTCGTAGAAAAATAATGGCCAAATATTAGAATTTTTTAAGCTCCACTTCTTTTTTTACAAGCAAAACAAATTTCACTATTTTGTATCTTTCGACATTTTAATTCGCAACTCGCTTCAAGTACGCTGCCCATGGCTGATCTTTTGCAAATGGTATCTCCGAATGATAATCTTTAACACAACACCAAATTTTACCTGAATCTATGGTATTTTAATATTGCTTGCTAAAACGTGCCCCAGAGGGATACTGTAGTTTTTGTTTTTCGCGTTTTTCTTTTTATTGTAAGCTGCGATTTCGCTTAAAATTTTATCATTGGTAAACACCAATAAGGATCACCTATGGGCTAAATATCGCGAAGTTCTAGCCATACACCTTCCCAAAATATGCAAAAAACTTATTTTTGAATTCTGCGACGGAAATTTCTAAATATTTTGATGCATGGGACCAAAAACTACTATTATTTGTTTTCCCAAAAGATCGAAACGTTTCTATGGTGAAAAGAACGAGAAAACGGCGATTTTCTGTTTTCTACCGTAACCCGACTGGAGCGCGTTTTAGCATGCCAAGACAAAATGCCATAAAATGCCAATTTTTCTATTTTAGAATGTTCTCTGGGTGATTATGAGAACGCAGACAAAAAATGACTGACTTTCTGTGGTAAATGACAAAGTTATGAGGGAAAGTGGAAAACCCCCCTCTGGGCCCGATTTTGGACCCGAGGCCCCGGGCCGAAAATCGAATTTTTGAAAATGAAAAAGTCACCGGGGTTTGGTGGATACAATTAACGTACGCATCGAACAGTGTATAAAAGCAGAAGTCTGGAATGATCTGGCTGAAGTTACTGGTTGATTTTGATTTAAAACCCGAAAATAACGTTTTTTGAAAAGTCGACTTTGGGGCGCTCTTCTAAATTCGTTTGCCATGAAAAGGTTTTGTATTTGCATGGGTTTTAGTTGACTACCCAAGCTTGGTCTATACCAGAAAACTCGGGGCTACTAAACCCTCGAGAATTTTTTTAAGTCGCCTGGAATTCGGGTATATTTGCACTTTTCATGAATTTCTTTTGAAGATTTGGATGGCCCAATAAATTTGTAAAGATAATTTTAGAATGCGCCCGTTAAGCAGTATTAAATAAAATTATCACAATAATTCTAGCCGCGCAATTGAATTTTATAGACTGGCACGAAGGTCTGCGAAATAGCACGAACCAACCGTTTTGGAGGCGCTAAAAAGCAACCTTCCAAAGGGGTACGGTAGCTAGAAATTGTTTACACGATAGATGGACCCCAGTCCTACACAACCAAGCAAAGCAAACACCGAAATTCTATCTACAATTTTAGAAATATTTTTCCAAAGTTCAGTTTCGTGACCTCGAAAGAATCAATGACCAGGGGGTCGTTGAAAAACTCAAAAATCCGCGAATCTGAAAAATTTTTTTGATATTTTTGTGGGATTGTATCGAACCTATAGACATGCTAAAACAGCTTATTTCGAGGTTTCCACCATAGGTTTTTGTAATATTCGAAATTTACGAAATTTCTCCATATTAAATTTGAGCATGCTATAACTTGCCAACCAGACCTTCGAAAATTCCAAAATTCCGGATGTGCGTAGGGGCAGTCCTTAGGTACCTACACTGTAAAAATTGGAAGTGTTCGACCACCAGCAGGCCTAAAAATGCAAACGAAGTTTTGCCGGAACGCACAGTTTTCGGGTGTCATTTGTATTGATACGTCGCCAAAAATCGAAAAAATCAACTTGTGTTAAATCTTCATGCCCAGCATATTTAAGCATTCTGGCATGGTAACGTACCTTCGATTCTCTACCGTTCGCGAGATAATATGGCGCAAAGTTGGCTTTTTTTTTGACCCACCCTGTAAGCCGAGTAATTGCTCGATGGATAATTGATCGAGGACGGTAGAGAGCAGATTTGAGGGGAGTTTTTCGATGGGAAATCGAGAGCGTCGGCTGAATCTTCTTCTTGTTTTTTCATAGATCCATTGACAGAATTGTTTGAGATGGGTCCATTGATCTATGCAAGCTATGGCTATTATAATCCACATTATCTGCATCAGAAATATCCTCATTTCCAGCTGCGCTTTTTCTTCTTCCGCAAGCATTTCTGAAAATAGCGTGTTTATGATCAATTAGAATCGCAAAAGTTATCCGGAATCTGGAACTTTGGCAATATCAGGGGGCGGATTTCCTATAAACCCAATTATACCTAATCCGAGTGATATCTGGATTTATAGAAATTATTTAATAGCCAGTTTAACCATTTTTCGAGCAATTTAGCTATTTTCAACCATTTTTCAAGTCTAAAAATGTCTAGTAAGTTAATAGCAAGTGTTTTAGTAGTGTTTTCAGTATTATTCAGCAAGAAAAACTATCCAAAAAATTTAGTAAAGTCGATTTTTGGTCGAAAAATCTATATTTTTGACATTTTTTAATAACATTTTGCGTAGTTTTTACCTTTAGAATAATAAAAAACCATTTATAAATACTTCTACTGTTTATATTTGATAAATTAGATCCTCAGAAAAAAATGTGTATACATTTGAAAAAGCAAAACTTTGGTGATTTTCAATCTAAAAAAATCGATTTTCCACCTAAAATTTCGTCATTAAAATGTATAAAGTTTTTATGGCCAGGAATAGTACAAATAGAAACTTTAACGAGCCGGGTTTTCGCTAAATGGCGCGCAGACTAGCGAGAAACGGCCCGATTTTTCGAGTTGGCGCGTGAATAAAGCCACCTGGCCAGCTGCCGGGCCATTAATGTGTGACCCCCTAAAATTTGTAGTTTGCTGTGTATTTAATTTCAAATTTTATATCGTTTATTAAGCGGTAAAAAGTAGCAAAAAAAGTACACAAATCACAATGAAAAGGCAAAAAGAACATATAAGTAAGAAAATGGCAGCAGATGGGGGTGATCACAGTTTGATGCTTTTCGTGTAGTCGTATTCGATTGTTGGCACCACCGCCTGGAATATAGCCATTTAACTGAGTTAAATTAATTTTAATTTGTTTTAACAAGTTTGGTTATTTAGAAAAAATTCCTATTTAAAAGATTTCTAACAAAAACCTAGTTAATTTTGTTAATTAGATTAAAAAAATCAGGGTAATTTTGTCATTTAGCTTATTTAGTAAAATCCTATTTAATTTTGTTATTTAACTTTTTAAAATGGATTCTCGGCCTACCTGGACGAATTTGAGAAAAACGAGCATATATTGGTGGACGCCGAGCTCTTTTCCATTTTCCGTCAATTGATCGCAGAGTCGTTTCATCGTCTGTAAATTGAGATCTCAATAATTCTAGCCATTTCGGCCGAGATTCCCCAACGGTTTTTGCTAGCTTGCCTTCCAGATAGCGCCTTCCTGTGGTTAAAAAGACCTGAAAAGTAAGCCGAAAGCCATCGATAGCAAAAAATTCCGAAAAATGCCAGGGTTTTTCGCGTGAAAAGGGCTAGATTTTTGCATCAACTTGCTTGAAAACAGTTCTAAAGATGATTCAGTTGTAAAACAAGCTAAACAGACTGAAAATTCCGATTCCCCAACGGATTCTGCTCGCCTGCCTTCCAGATCATTAGACTAAAAGTACAAAAAAGAGGGGTTTTTCCTCCATTTCGAAAACAGAAACGTTAAATTTTTGGTAGACTTCGATTTCCCAAGGATTTCGGATAGCGCGCTCTCCAGGAATGGAGCAAAAAAGCGTGAGAAGCACGATTTTCTAGTCCAAAAACTACAGAAAAAAACTTTTGTGGCTGTTTTTCAATGATTTTCTTACCTCGGCATGCCTACAGGGATGGACACTGGCCATTGGCGGACCCTCGATATGGGGATGTGTCTCGATCGTGATCGTCTTCTTGGCATGGTCCTGGAAAGAAAGCGAAAATATAACAACAATAATAACACAACTTTACGATTTTTTACTAAAAAACACAAAAATATCGATGTTTCAATCCAAAAGCCAAAATTTCGACTTTTTCGAAAAATTTCTGAAGTTTTAGAGAGTTTTTCTAGTGGAAATATAGTTTTATTTTACTAAAAACATAATTTGAATACGTCCTGTTAAATTACTAAGCCGATTATAAATTAAATAAATACACAAATAAAGCAACGAACCGCCGAAAAGTCCTCATTCATGGCATCGGCGGTGAGCGGGCGACGATCATGATCATATCCACCCAGCCACAACCGGGGAACCTGCAAAAATCAGATATAAATGATTTAAATCAATAACACCGAACTTAATTCTGTTCTAAAGCTTTAAAAACTATATAGCTTTTCTTTTAAAGTGGTTTAAATGTTTAAAAAGGTCCAAGTTTAGGTTTTAAACTGTAAAACTCGTTAAAAAATCACGCGCACCGCATAGCGACTCGAGTTTTTTACGGGTAAACCTTACTTTCTATCAAAAAGCCATATTTCCTTACTAAAAATTAGTTTTGGACCTTTGAGAGCTAATCTGTTCGGTTTTAAACTTTATTAAAGTCGTGAAAACTTTGGTTTTTCATTCAAAAGCCAAAATTCTTTGTTCAAGAGCGGTTTTAAGCGTCTAAAAACGCCAATTTTAAAATTTTAAGCTTTCAAAAGCGTAAAAAATCACCATCAGTTATCGTCAACATTTATAAAGCCTCCCTGCAAGTTTTAAGCTTTTTAAACCAATTAGAAAAACGCGCCCACCTGATAGAATTTGTCGTAGGTGATGTGGAGATCATATGTTCGCGGCTTCTCCACCTCGGCTGCCCCTCGCTGCTCTTGATGCGCCACGAATCTACAAGAAAATCACAATTTACGCCTTATTTTATCAAAATATATAATTTTAAATATTAAAATAATTAAATAAACGATTCAGTGTGAAATTACCGATTCGGATCGGCTTCCTCGAGGTCTCCACTGTCGACGAGGGCATCCAAATCCACCTCATCGTCATCGTCCGCTTCGTTTGAGGCCGTCTGCAATTTATATTGAAGTAGAATACACGTTTTTACACTCTTTTGTCATGTTACAACTTAAAATTCTTATGAAAAAATTCAGAACTTTAGATTTTTCGATAAAAACGGTCATTGTTTGAGCAAAACTCAAAATTTTAGTCGAAATATTGGTTAAAAACTGGCGATATATGGTCGAAAATCGATACTTTTTCGTATTTTTGACAAAAAGTTGTAAAGTTTTTACGTTGCAGAATAGTAAAAACAGTTTAGAAACACTTCGGCTATTTATATTTAAAAATTTAGATACTAAAAAAAATTGCAGGAAGAATTCAAAATTCATCAAAATTCAGCCCAAAATCAGATTTTCTGGCATTAAAATATGAGATTTTCGAGAATCGGAGAGCAAATCTCTGTTCTCCTCATCGAGAGCTGTCGATTGATACCGAAACCATCAAAATCGGACCATTCTACGGGTCACTAGCGAAATTCTAAATCCGAAAAAAACTTTTTTTGGTGCCCCGACAACGAGCGGTGGCGACTTGGGATTTTGGGGCAACCAGCGGTGATCATTGAGGAACCAGCGCCCAAAACCCGCTTCGCGGGCCTTGGGCGCTGGAATGCGGCCTTTGCATGAAAAATTTGACTTCCCGATAGGTTGGGTCCTTCGGACCCCTACCCCCCCCCCCCCGCCCGACCAAACACGCGAGTGCAACTGGCAAGAATGAGGAAATTTGTATTTTTCCGCATTATGCAAATTAGCCTTCAGGGACCCCCCAAAAATGAATAAAACCGGCTTTAACTTTGTAAACTTGTATTTTATCGAAATTCTGACAACGCCATCGGAAACAGAAGGGTCGATTCCCCCGGGTTACGGAGAATTAGGGCATTTTATGAACGGGAAGGCCCTCAAATCGGGCCTCGAAAGTGACATCCACACACACACACACAGAGATACACCCCAAAATTATATAAAGTAAATTATTTCTAGCCGACCTTCTCGCTGGGCTGATCCAAATCCATGGCGACTTGCTGTGGTTGTTGATGATAATGATGTGTGTCCACCCATCCGCTATCCTCGTCCCCGGCAAACCCTTCTTCGGCGCCGATTTCGTCCGTTGACAACACCTGGAACCATTAAAATTATTAAAAACCCTACAACTAAGTCACAAAACTAGAAACTCTCCCAAAAAACCCTCGCATTTTGGCCGCCTTCTATCCGAGCGGTTTCAAATTTTTACCATCAATTTGGGCCCCTAAAAACTCTACGCATGCCAATTTCCAACCCAAAATATTGCAAACCAAAAAAGTTATTTCGAAACTAAGATTTATTTTGCCGATTTCACTAGGTTTTGATCGATTTCGACCTCCAAATGTTTAGCAAAAATGAAGCGGGCCCTTTTTCCACCGAAAAATTCTTTTGTTCCGATAAAATGGCGTCCAAATTGGGACTTTGCTCACTTTTTCGTATCAAAATTGGCAGGAACCGGCCTGAAATGATCATTTTTCGGCAAATTACTCAAAGACGGCATGCCATTTGCGAAAATGGAGCCAAAAATGAGTACAGTTTCCGAAAAAAAATCCGTTTTTAGCCATATTTTGGCTTGAAAATCGGCGTGTCTATAGATTCTGTGGGTCCCAAACGATGCTGAAAATCTGAACACGACCGGATAGAATGCGGCCATGTATCGAGCGGAAATCCCGGCGCTCGCTTCCTTAAAAACCCCCGCTAGCCAGCCCACCTTTTCCTGCCGGGGGTCATATTCCATCTGACGACATCGCTGTCGACACGGCACATTTCGTGTGATCAAAAATTGCTTGTCGGCTGGCAGATAGTCGCGAGTTCTGAAAATTTCAGATTTTTCCGCTGCTGCTTTATCGGGCGGGGGGGGACAGTTTACGACATCCGGAAATGCCCAATAAGGTAATAGAAAGTATTTTAACAAATTTGTTGACAAAATTTAGCCATATTTAAAGCCAAAAAACTGTTTAGAAAGACTGAATAAGGCCCAATCTTTTCAAAATTTGGTCATTTTTGCGCCAAAAATTTTTATTTTTGTATATTAAATGAGACTTTTCTATCTTGTTACCCTTAGGAATCCTAAAAAGAGTGCAGAAACGAAGATTTTTATCTAAAATATAGGATTTCTAAATAAAAAACCTCGAAAAGCCCCACAAACTTTGAAATTTCGAGTCATATCGGCGCCATTTTTCAGCGAAAAATCTACAGGGTGTCCCAAAAAAACGAACCATCTGGCATTTCGCCGTGTTACATCCAATCGGGCCCAAAATTGGACGAAAGGTGTATCAGACCCTAAATAACAACAATCCTGACTTTTAGCCCCGTAGCTACAGTAGTTCTCGAGTTATAACGAAAATACTGTTTTTCCCGGAATTCTGTAAAGTTTTTTCGGCTATCTTTTTGGACTTTGCATTGATTTGCAACGACTTCCGGCTGCGAATCCCTAATTTTGCTTAAGAACTTGCGTAATTTTGCGTTGTAAAAATCGCTGAAATCGAAGCTTATTTAATTAATTTTACTCTGGAAAAAATTTCTTAAGGCAAAGAAGGCCTGCCGGACCATTTTCACTTAATGTTTCGGGGGTCTAATTCCACGAAAACCCTATGAAAAATGGAAAATAAAGTTTGTTTTTGCCATAACTCGAGGACTACTGTAGCTACGGGGCTATAAGTCAGGATTGTTGTTATTTAGGGTCTGATACATCTCTGGTCCAAATTTGGGGCCGATTGGATGTAACACGGCGAAATGCCAGATGGTTCGTTTTTTTTGGGACACCCTGTATACTAGAGTGGCGCTTATTCAAATCAGATTTGAATAAGATTCAAATTGTTCAAATCAAGCCGATTTGATTTGAATTGGAGCCGAGCAAATCAAATCAAATCGATTTGATTTGAGTTCCACCAGTTCAAATCAAATCCAGCCGATTTGAATAATTTGAATAAGACCTCATAGAAATGAACCAAACGCAACTCGTAATTCGTGCACCGCTCTTTCCCTATAATCTCTTAGCATTGTTCCAGCGTCCCAGTTAACGATTCCTTATACATTTCCTATTTGTTTTTACCCTTTAGCTTTTCCAAAGAAAATCCATAGCGCAGGCTAAATCTGACAAAAAAAAAACGTCTGGCTCAATTTTATATAAATGTCATCAAAACTCCCCATGAATTATTGTAAGGGACACCTAAATGTGCAGAAACGGCGCTACCAAAAGCCCTTCGAACCGCCGATTTTCAATTTGCATCCCTGATAAGCCTGTTGTTCAAATCCCAAATCAAATCGATTTGATTTGAGTTGGCCAGCCCCTAATTCAAATCAAATCGATTTGATTTGAAGTTGATTTTTTGGCACTCAAATTTGCTAATTCAAATCAAATCAATTTGAAGCCGATTTGATTTGAATAAGCGCCACTCTACTGTATACTTTTATCTATTTACCAAAAATTTCTATTTTCTTACGTTTAGGAATCTTAAAAAAGAGTGTAAAAACGAAATATTCCCATCTAAAATACACAACTCTCAGCAAAAAAGGCCGATTTCTCCTTTTTATCAATATTTCCAAGCGCTCACTTTGACGAATCGGAAGCCCGGGCCCATTGCCATGTGGGGCAGTGATGGACCAAGTGATCGCCGGCAACCACAAACTCCTCGGGGGTCAGCACGCCGGTCTCCAGGAATTTGCTCTCCTGAAAATAAACAAAAATTAGATAATCTTGCACATTATGTCCTTTTCGAGGCCAAAATATCGATCAAAGCCTTCGATTTCACCCATATAGGCGGAAAAACGGTTGCTAATACCTTGAAATACGCTCAAAAGGCAATTAGTAAAGTTCGAGGTGGGGAGGTGGGGAGGTGGGAGGTGGGGAGGTCGGGAGGTGGGGAGGTGGGGAGGTCTCGGGGAGGTGGTTTTGAAAATAACCGTTTTTTGGCGCGTTTCGTACCGATTAATGTTAGTAATCGATTTATAAATGTTTATTGGTGTTTTCTGAACATTATTAGAGGGTTTTGGTAAAATATTTTTTTATTATTAGCTTAGATTAAGGCGAAAAGGGAAATCCTTGTAAAGAGCTGGGAAATTGAAGAAACTACAGCGATTTCACGCTTTTTCTTTACAATATATTATAAAATTATAATGATGTGTTGCATGACAGGTTTTTTAATGCCTAAGGACTAACTTCTAGCCTTTATAAGTTACCTAGTAAGAAAATAACTACTAATCTTCTATTTTGCGTGTTTTCACTCGTTTATCTTCGTCTTCATAATAATTTCTTCTTCCGGTTCCTTTTTCATCCTTCTTCTCTCTGATAACTTCATCAACTATTTTAACTTTACTTACCTTCTGCGAAATTAAGAGCTCCGCAGGCTTTTAATTATTTATTTTTACCAGTTTACAGGCTTTACTATGTGTTAGTTGTGCTACTGGACTGGACGTTTTTAAGCTAAGCCTCTTGCAACGATCAGTTAAGCCTAAGCCTGGGCTTAGCTTCACATAAACGAATTGTAAGGCTAGTTGCACCAAGCTAAGTGTTTTTAACCATTCTTTTTTCTATAAGTCAAAAACAAGTTTGGATGAGCAAAAAAAAATTATAACTAAAAGTGAGACGAACCAAGGCAACGCACTTTAATCGTTGCTTTGATACCAAAATCAGTCCTAAAACTAAAGAATCTTGAACTAATGCGCAACTAATCTATAGTATCAAACATACGTTAACAATTTTAGATGGATCAAAGGGTTTTAGTTTTTTGGTTATATCTAAAGCTAGAGAGCCTGTAAACCATTGCAGATAGAGAATTCAGAAGAACGAGAGTAAAAGAAGGAAGAATCGAGAAAGCCTGTGGAGCTTTAAATTTAATTAAAGGTAGATAAAGTAGTATTAATGGTAAGTAAAGCTAATGAATGTAAGAAAACAGAACCACGAAGCGCAAGAAGGAAGAGCGAATCAGTAGGAACATAGAAATAAACTATTGAAAACAAATAAAAGATATAATCATAGTTATTCTCTTACTAGCTAACCTATAGGAAGAAGTTATGTAGCTATAGAAGTTATGTGCAAGCGCTGTAAAGTAGCAAAAACCTTGCAAAAGTAATAATAATTATAATTTTATAATATATTGTAAAGAAAAAGCGTGAAATCGCTGTAGTTTCTTCAATTTCCCAGCTCTTTACAAGGATTTCCCTTTTCGCCTTAATCTAAGCTAATAATAAAAAAATATTTTACCAAAACCCTCTAATAATGTTCAGAAAACACCAATAAACATTTATAAATCGATTACTAACATTAATCGGTACGAAACGCGCCAAAAAACGGTTATTTTCAAAACCACCTCCCCGAGACCTCCCCACCTCCCGACCTCCCCACCTCCCACCTCCCACCTCCCCACCTCCCCACCTCGAACTTTACTAATTGCCCGCTCAAAATAGAGTTTTTCATCAGTTAGAAAGTTTTAAAATCATCGATTACACCATAAAACTCCTTTTCTGGCAAAGTTCCAACAGATTTGCGTGAATTCTGCAGCGATTCCCCTTCGCCGCCAATTACCGTAACAAAATCCGTAAAGTGGAATGGCACGTACACTGGGTCGACCTGTGTTTTATTTCACTCCTAAATTATTTCTCGCATTTTCCGCGATTTTCGCGTGGCCTAAAATTTTTCCCCTACCCCCGGTTTTCATGATATTTCTATTTCTCTTTATCCTATACCCACCTTCAAAACTGGCGTAAACTTCTCGCCGACGCCGATGGCAAATTGCGTTAGCTTGTTCCTGATGTCGTCCATTTTCTCGGCGAGCCTGAAATGAATCGATGTCATTTCGGGAGGATAAAGCTTGGGGGAAATGAACAATTTTCTTGCAAAAGATCTCTGGGGGCCAGATGTTCACGTGCAGCTTGTGGGCTGACCCATCATTCCCTTTCCATGGCGTACTTTTGACGAACGCGACGCTCCAATGCGCGAGCCCCTTTCCCGCCCCTCCCCCTTCCCGCCGTCCCCCGGCAACCGCGCCAATCCTTATTTCGTAAGGGCCTAAAATATACGAAAATCGCATCAATGGCCAATTAGGGAATTATGGTTGAACATCTGCATTGTCGACCTCTTCGTTTGACCCTTGTCGTAAAGCCACTATCTTTATAGGCGCGTTTCTGAGTGCTCGGCAAGTTGTTTTTAACGCTTGTTTCTAGAACATTCTTTAGCTTTCTGCTCCCCCGTTTTGTTTTCGGAATTGATTCTAGTTTCAAAGTCATTCCGCGCTAAACTTTTTCTTTTTTCTCTTGTATAAGGTTGCCGCACTTTTCTTTTAGTAACTCTTATTGCTGACAAAGCATATCTTGACGCGCCGATCTTTCGTTCATCATACAATTCTTTCATTTTTCAAATGTTTTCTCACGATTGCTATCTATATATCCTTTTTTCAGCATGGCCACCGGAGACATCCCAACGTTCAAGTTGGTGCTCGTGGGCGACGGCGGCACGGGCAAGACTACATTCGTGAAGCGCCATCTGACGGGAGAATTCGAGAAGAAGTACGTGGCCACCCTCGGCGTCGAAGTGCACCCCCTCCTCTTCCACACGAACCGGGGCCAGATCCGGTTCAACGTCTGGGACACGGCCGGCCAGGAGAAGTTCGGAGGACTGCGCGACGGCTACTACATCCAAGGTAAACTTTTTCTTGAGCTTTTCGTGCTTTCATCCAAAAAATGTTGGTACTTTCTAGCTTCGTGCATAAACCGGTTTAATTTTCTTTTTTTGGGTCAATGCGCAATCATCATGTTCGATGTGACGGCGCGAGTGACCTACAAGAACGTCCCGAACTGGCACCGGGATCTGGTGCGCGTCTGCGAGAACATCCCGATCGTCCTCACCGGCAACAAGGTCGACGTGAAGGACCGAAAAGTCAAGGCGAAGACCATCACTTTCCACCGGAAGAAGAACCTCCAATACTACGACATCTCGGCCAAGTCCAACTACAACTTCGAGAAGCCCTTCCTCTGGCTGGCCCGGAAGCTGCTCGGCGACCCGAACCTCGAGTTCGTCGCCATGCCGGCGCTCGCCCCACCGGAGGTAATTTTTATTTTCTTGACTTTGATTTTGTATTTCTTGTTGACCCGATTTATCTTTTCTTTTTCAGGTGACCATGGACCCGACGATGGTCCAACAGTACGAGCAAGATCTCAAGGATGCGGCCGACGCCGACCTCCCCGATGACGACGACGACCTCTAAGCCGCCAAGACCGCGCCCCCTCCCCTATTCTCTCGTGCTCCACCTCGCACAATTTTGTCATGCCCCCATTGCGCCGTTGTTTCTCTTCTAATTTATCAATTTACTTTGCGCTAAATTCTTTTGCAATTTTTTGTTTACGTGTCTCGAAATTCCGGTCGAATAAATTACTGAACGCTGCAAGTGTTGAGGAGAGATCACATTGACGAAGAATCGTTGACATATTTGCAAGAAATCGTCACAGAGCTTGACAGAATTGAGGGTTGGCTTCTTGTTGACTGCGGGAAGGGTGGAGATTGCGCGATTGTGTATTGCTGACTGAATTGACTGAGCCTTGGTCTTCGCTGCTTTTTCACTTCCGGCGCTTATTTAGCAAGATGGCACGCTGTGGATCGCGATTTTTCATTCAGGCATGGCTTTCCACGCCTCGCTAGGTTTTTGAGGGGGCAGTTGGCTGGATCGACAAAATGCTGTTATGAGCGGCGTCTGTTGGTTTCCCCTCTCACCAAGGGCAAGTTTAGGCCTGACCTGCGGGAAATCGCGTTTTTTCATGAATTGCGCTTTTCGCCGTAGTCCGTTTATCAATTTTTAGTTTTCCATCTTCGGGCTTCCAAAAGTGTTGTTATCGTCCCGTCCCCAATCGTGGCTTCTCGATTCGATATTCGAAATCAGCGCACAATTCGGCGCAAGGTCCTTGTGAGTGCTGATTTTTTGCTGCCTTTTCACTTCCTGCACTTAGGTAGCAAAATGAAAAGCTGTGATTCGCGAGTTTTCATTTGCATGGCTCTGGACGGTTCGCTCGGTTTTCGAAGGGTATGTGCTCCTTTTGCTGCCCAAAAGGAGATGTTAGGCGCGTTAGGGGCGCGGCGTCTGTTGGTTTCCCATATCATCATGGGAAATTTAGGCCTGACCTGCGGGAATTAGCGTATTTTTCATGTACGCTTTTCGCCGCAGTCCGTTAATTAATTTTTAGTTTTTCCATCTTCTGGCCTAGAAGTTGTTATCGTCCCGTCCCCAATCGTGACTTATCGATTCGATATTCGGAATCGGCGCAAATTTCTGCAGGAGGCCCTCGTCGGTGCTGGTTTTTTCAATGCCTTTTGACTTCCACTTCTTTAGCAAAATAGAAAGCTGTGATTCGCTAGTTTTCATTCAGGATGGTTCTGGACGTCTCGCTAGGGTTTCGCGGGGGCAATTTGCTGAAGAAACGAGATGCTATTAGGCGCGGTGTCTGTTGGTTTCCCCTATCATCAGTGGGGAAATTTAGGCCTGACCTGCGGGCAGTAGCGTATTTTTCATGTATATTACCCTTTTCGCCGTAGTCCTTTTATTCATTTTCAGTTTTGCTATCTTCGTCCCTTCAAAAACGCTGATTTCCGAACCGTAACTTCTCAATTTTGGCCGGCTGATCGACCTGTTTCGCTAGTTTTTCCATTTCCTTTTTGCTTCGCGTAAAATTCTAGGGGGTTGTTGTGACAAAGAGGAACGCCCTTTGGAAAAGGCGGTTACAAGCGCGTCTTCGCTGCGAAATCGCGTTTTGAGCGGCGGAAAATAGTGTTGTTTTTTTCAGGCTAACACTCTCGTTTTCTTAAAACTGATTTTCCAGTTTTTCTACTTCATATTTTCAAAATTTCTCATCCTCTATAAAACTTACCTCTTTACAGACGCGTTCCGGCCAGCGGGGAGATGACCGTCGACACTTTGGTCGAGGCCATCGCGCCCTATCGACTCCGTCCGGCATGGATGCACGGGTAATTTTCCTCTCCCCAAAAACCACCCTTTCGCTTCAGATACGTGGGCCCGTTCGTCGCCCTGTTCGCCGTCTGGACGGGCGTCTTCGTCCAGTTCTTCGGCTTCGAGGAGTACACCGAGCTGCTCTACATCGGATGCGGCATCCTCTTCGTGTTGCAGGTAGTTTCAAAGTTTCGGAACTTCTATGTTTATTTTTAGGCGCTGACGTTCCTGTTCTGCCACTGGGTGGTCGCCGTGCAGTGCTTCATGACGTGCGCATCGGTATCGGGCTTTTTTCTTGCTCGAAACCTTCCTTTTTTAGGTGGCCAACGTCAAAACGGCCGAGTACGTGCGCGTGACGCCGACCCCGAACAATGGCCACGCCGAGCTTGTTCCCCTGCGAAGGACGAAGGTATTTTTGCAAAAAAATTGAAACCAAAATGGTTTATTTTTAGTTTAACGGGATCGTCAAGCTGTGGTTCGAATTCCAGAAGGTGCACTACGTGTTTGACGACGAGGCCGGCGGGTTCAGGACCATCGAATTCGACTCGAAGAAGCCCTTCAAGTACTGCTTATTTTGATTTTTTGCGCATTATCGGTGAAGGGGCAAAACTTTTTCGAATCCAATTTTTGAAATATATGCGTAGAAACTTGACAAATTTTTATTAACAATTGCAAAAAATATCGATTGTCGACCAAAAATGGCTGGTTTTGCCCAAATTTTCGATTTTTTGGACGTTTTAGATCGTTTTTTTTAAATTGAGATGTAGTTTTAATTTATAAAAACGCTTGTAAATGAGTTTCTATCATGTTTCTAGGCATTTCTAGGCATAAAAATATCCCCCCCCCGTAATGCGAAAGAACCCATGCTTTTTGCCAAAAGAAAAAAAAAACGATTTTTCAGATTCTACCAATCGGCCCAGGGCATCCAAAGCGACGACGAGCTCTCGGAGACCAAGTTCAACCTCGGCGACAACAAGTAAAAAAAGCTATTTTGCGCCCGAATACCCTAATTTAGGATGGAGATGGTGATCCCGCAGTTCTGGGACATGTTCAAGGAGCGAGCCACGGCCCCATTCTTCGTCTTTCAGGTTACTTGCTGATTGCAAAGCTCATCTTCTGGATTTTCTAGGTGTTCTGCGTCGGGCTGTGGTGTCTGGAGGACATGTGGTACTACTCGCTCTTCACCCTCTTCATGCTGATGACGTTCGAGGCGACGCTCGTCAAGCAGCAGATGAAGAACATGTCCGAGATCCGCAACATGGGCAACAAGAGCTACATGATCAACGTGCGGCCAGTTTCTTGCTTTAAAAGCTTTTTAGTTGATATTGGAGTTTTGCGATGTAAAAAAATCTGGAAATTTTGGATTTTCAAAAATTTAATTTCAGCTTTCAAAAATGGCTGAACGATTTTGCCAACTATTTTTAGAAAAATAGCATAACAAAATCCAACCTTTGGGATTTTTTGCAAGAAGTGATTATTCAGCAATTTTAAATTTGGGAAAATTTTTACGCTTCATTATGAGCTATGTAACATCGCAAAACTTCCTTATCACCTAAAAACGATTCCCTGCGATCAAAAGTTCAAAGTTTTCCAAAAAATCACCTTTTTAGGTCTATCGAAACAACCGGTGGAATCGCGTGAAGACGGAAGAGCTCGTGCCCGGGGATATCGTCTCGATTAGTAAGGGCTTCTTCTGTTTCTATCAATTTTCATTTTTAGCGCGCGGAACGGACGAACAAACGATGCCCTGCGACGTGGTGCTCCTCCGCGGCTCGTGCATCGTCGACGAGAGCATGCTCACCGGAGAGACCGTGCCCCAGATGAAGGTGATTTTCTCGAATATTTTTTGAAAACTGGGTTCGGAACAGCATTCTCTTTTGATTTGCAGAAAATTTGTAAAATGATGTGATGAAAGTATCAATTTTTGAAAACTTTAACTAATCAGAATTTCCAAAAATAGGCGAAATAGCGCGAAAACTGATATCGACGGTCAAAAACAGCATTTTTTTTTGTTTTTCAAAAATCTGACACGGAAAGATACTTTCTTTTTCGGAAAAAATGGTTTTCGCAAGCATTTCCATCCTCCTTTTGATAAAATGTGCTAACGACTTTTTTTTCAGGAACCCGTCGAGCACGTTGAAGGGAACAGGATCTTCGATTTCGACGTGGACAGCCGTTTGCACGTGATCAGCGGCGGCACGAAGATCGTCCAAGTATCGGCCCCAGGTTGAATTCATTTTGCGAATTTTAATTCTTTTTTAGAAAAGCAAGCAGCCGGGATGAAGGCGCCGGACAACGGGTGCGTCTGCTTCGTCCTCCGCACCGGCTTCCACACCAGCCAAGGCCGTCTCCTCAGGACCATCATGTAACTTTTTAACCCGAAAGATTTTGGTTCTATCGCATTATTGGGAGATTAGTTTTTGTACAAGTCGAGAAATGCCTAGTGGGTTAATCAGAAGTAATTTTTTCTAATGTTGTTATTAAAAATTGGGACGAGATTTCAACTAAAAAACGATCTAGAAACGTTAAAATTTTGCAGAAAAATTTGATTAAAATTGCTGTAAAAATCGCTATTTTTGTATTCCTTAATCATTTAGTCATATTTATATAGGGTTTACATTAGTAAATAGTAAAAAAAGTAGTTATCACATTTTCGATGCCAATTTACTACAGCCCACCTTTGCAGGTTCGGCGTGAAACGCGTGACGGCCAACAGCATGGAGACGTTCTGCTTCATCCTCTTCCTCCTCATCTTCGCCATTGCCGCCTCCTCGTATCTATGGATTAAGGGTAAATTTTTGTCCCATTTTCTCTAGCCCTTCCTGTTAGGCAGTGAAGACGAGCGGCGCAGCAAGTACAAGCTCTTCCTGGAGTGCACTCTCATCCTCACCTCCGTCATCCCGCCCGAGCTGCCCATCGAGCTCTCGCTGGCCGTCAACACGTCGCTGATGGCCCTGCAGAAATTGGGTATATTTTTGGAGCATATCAAGATTTTTGAAAAGCACTTTTTCGAGGAGTCATCTGATGAAAAGCACATTTTTGAAAACTAAGGTAAATCCGAATTCCAAAAAATAGGCGTCCAGCCACCTTTAGAAAAAGCTATCGTAGGTAAAAAAATAGCGGTGTAGCGTTTTCAAAACTGTGTTTTTGATAAAATACGACTCGAAAATATGCTTTTCGGAAATATTATTTTCGCGAACACTTCTTTTTTCTTGACACGGTTTTTTTGCAGGCGTCTTCTGCACCGAGCCATTCCGGATCCCATTTGCGGGCAAAGTGTCAATCTGCTGTTTCGACAAGACCGGCACGCTCACCACCGACAATCTCGTCGTCGAGGGCGTTGTTATGAGGTACGAATTTTCTTTGCAGGCTTCATTATTTGAATTTCTAGCGATGATGAAGAGAAGGGGATGGCTCGCACGGCCGCCGACGCCGAGATCCCGTCAATACAAGTGCTGGCCGCCTGCCACAGTCTGGCTCGATATGAAGAGGAACTCGTCGGCGACCCACTGGAGAAGGCCTGTCTCGCGTGGGCTGACTGGAATATTTCTAAAGGTAAATTATTTTTCACTTTTTGTATGGGGATTATGCGTATGTATTTTCAATGCTTTTTTTTCCAATAATAAATTTTATTTGGACCTTGCATTAAACTATGCTATTGGGAGGGCTCTTTATAAGTTGTTATTTAGGAGATGCCGTCGTCCCGCGAAAAGCCAAGCTGCCCGGCCTTCGCATCCAACACCGCTACCACTTTTCCTCGGCCCTCAAAAGGATGACTGTATGTTTATCTTAATTTTACTGCAATTCCACTCTTTTTCAGGTGATTGCCGGCTATCAAAAACCGGGCACCACCGAGTCCACCCAAATTGTGTGCGTCAAGGGGGCGCCGGAGACGCTTCGTGAAATGGTATTTTTAATTTAGTTTTTATTAAGTATCTTTTTTAGTACAAAAACATGCCCAAGGACTACGACCAGATCTACCAGAAGCTGGCGCTGCGTGGGGCGCGCGTGTTGGCGCTCGGCATCCGCGAAACCGACAATCTGACGGCCCAACAGGTATCGCTGATTTGAATTGGGAAATCTCTTTTTGTAGATCCGGGACACGCCCCGCGAGCAAATTGAGCGCGGACTCGACTTTGCCGGTTTTGTCGTCATCTCGTGCCCGTTGAAGAATGATACAAAGCCCATGATTAGGGAGATTATCGACAGCTCCCATCAGGTATCACAATTTTGGGGTTCTTGCGCTTTATCGGGGGTGGTAAAGCATTGCCTTTGGGTTCAATTTTTCTAAAAAAGATCGAGCAAGTTTTTAGGCTGTTTTTACTGCTCAGCAGCGTCAAAACTTATTCTACGCTTGTTTTTTTTTGCGATTGACAACCGTAAATGTTTTGCAAATTTTCATTAAAATCACAACAATAGAGTTTTGAAGAAAAGTTCAATTTTGATGCCTTTTCAGATTGTTCTAATAAGTGTCTGTGGCGGAAATATAGCTAAGCTTTACTGCTAAACGTAAAAACTGCCGATTTGTTGCTAAAAATGCAAAAGATCGGTTTTTCAACAAAAATTTCAAGTTTTAGGCATTTTTCCAAGTGTTCCAAATATTTTTGAAGCTGAAATATAGCTAAAACTTTTTCGGAAAGCATATCACTAGACTAGCTGGGTTTCCACGAATAAAAAAAATCGTTCCCCCAAGGTTGCGGTTACTCTTTCGTTTTAGGTGGTGATGATCACTGGCGACAATCCGTTGACAGCCTGCCATGTCGGACAGACGCTTCGATTCACCAAAAAGAAGGTATTTTCATTTTTTTAGGCGCTAATGTTTACAAAACCTTTCCAGGCTCGCGTCCTTCTCCTCGACGAGCCTCTAAATGATGGCGAATGGGCATTGGAGGCAGTGGATAAAGAAGGCACGAAGGGTGTCTCCCGGATTTCCATCGTGGATGCCGACCGGTTGAAGGGCAAACAGTGGAACGACTTCCTCGCCCAACACGATTTTTGCTTCACTGGACCGGTATCGGCTTTAGAAGATGTAAAATTTATTTGTAGGCATGGTCGTATTTGCACGCGAACCATCTGGCCTTCCTGCGACGCATCCTATTCCATGTGCGCATCTTCTCACGCATGGCGCCCAAGCAGAAGGTAATAGGATTTTATGGACTGGTTTTTATAAGTTATAAAAGTAGAATGCCGAAATTGCGCATAAAAAGCCGGTGAAAAATTTTTCAAAGTTTTTAGATGGTTTAGATAGATAGAAAAATACTTTTATTTGATTAAAAACATTACGAAAATACTTCCTATTAAGTTGCTATTTTTTATTAAAAATCTTAATTTTCGCTAGATTCCTTGTAAGAATTTATGTATTCCGATTTTGAAAATTCTTATAAAAAATTGATTTGTAGCTGAAGTTTTTCAAACAGGGCATAAAGGCTTGATTTCCGACATTCCTCATGACCATTTTCCAGGAGCACGTGATCAACGAGTTCAAGCAGCTCGGCTACATGACGCTCATGTGTGGAGATGGCACAAATGATGTCGGAGCGCTGAAACATGCCAACGTTGGTACGTACCAATTCTTTGGCTTTTTAAAATGAATTTAGGAATCGCCCTCCTCTCCCACCCGTTCGACGCGACGAAGGCCAAGGCAAAAGAAGAGGCACAAGCCGCGCTCAGGGAACAACAACTACAAGTACAACAGCAGCAGCCACCGGCGGCGGCGGCAAGAAGACCCGAGGGACCGTCTCCAAGGGCTAGGTAAAATCTTGAAATTTGGGAATGCAGAAATCTTAATTTCCGAATTTCAATTCCTGGAAATCTCCTGATTATTGTGCCATTTTGTGGCTTTATGAAATTCAAAACTACGGCGCGTTTTCGGTATTATGAAGGTTCGAAATGACACAAATTGAACATTATGGAGTTTCAAAAATTCTTACATACGTTGTTAAATTTCGATAGTCTGAAAATTTCGATGAAATTTCGGCATCCTAAAATTTTAGGATTATCAGAGTCTGTTCTTTTACCAAAGTATCGGCATTGCATTTTATGAAATTTTTAGATTGGTTTTCTGATTGAAATATAGTTGTATTTCGCTAAAAACGCTAATTTTAGACTCATGAAAATGATGAAATTTTAAAAGTTTAGGATTTTGACATTATGAAATCTTCAAAATTTGAAAGTTAACCCGTTATGCCTCTCCCCGCTTCCAAATCACTATTTCCAGACCGGGCGCCCCTCCGCCCGCAATCTCGGCAGCCCAGAAGAAGCTGGAGGCGATGATGAAGGAGTTGGAGGAGGAGGAAAAGGCGCAGGTTGTCCGTCTCGGTGACGCCAGCATCGCCGCCCCCTTCACCAGCAAGTACACCTCAATCCAAAGCGGTACGTAGTTTTTTGGCTATTTAATTTCATCTTATTTTTTTAGTGTGCCACGTGATCAAGCAGGGCCGCTGCACGCTCGTCACCACCCTGCAGATGTTCAAGATTCTCGCGCTGAACGCCCTCATCTCGGCCTATTCCCTGTCGGTGCTCTACCTCGACGGCGTCAAGTTCAGGTGGGTGGCCTGACTTAAAAAATACAGATATTTATTATCTAAAAACCGTTTTTTTTAATCAAAATTTGATATTTTTAAAAGGTGAAAAATGGTTTTTTCGTTTAAAAATATATTTTGTTTTAGTGACACGCAGGCAACGATTCAAGGTCTCCTCCTGGCCGCCTGTTTCCTGTTCGTCTCCAGGAGCAGGGTGAGAAGCTCTTTTTTTTAGAAAAAATTTTCTCTTTTAGCCGCTCCAAACGCTGTCCCGCCAGCGCCCGCTCGCCAACATCTTCAACGCGTACACCCTGTTGACGGTGACGATGCAGTTTGCGCTCCATTTCTACGTGCTGCTCTACATTGTCGGCCTGGCGCACGCGGCTGAGCCAAGGTAAAATTAATGGCTGTTTTCCGAAACCTCCTTTTTAGGCCGGAACAGATCGACCTGGAGGCGACGTTCTCTCCGAACATTCTCAACTCGACCGTCTATGTCATCTCCATGGCGCTGCAAGTCTGCACATTTGCCGTCAACTATCGGGTTAGTTTTTCCTCGGTTATTTTGTGAAAATCACTTTTTGTAGGGCCGCCCGTTCATGGAGAGTCTGTGGGAGAACAAGCCGATGCTCTACTCGATCATGTTCTCCGGCGGATCCGTGTTTGCACTGGCGTTCGGGGCCAGCGACGACTTGGTCACCCAGTTTGAACTCGTCAAGCTGCCGCTCCATGTGCGTTTCTTTATCTTTCGAAGGAACTTGATGATTTTACCCGATGGTTTTTAAAAATGCTAGTTTATTTTCGCATTTTTGCCTTGAGAATTTGCTGAAATCGAGTTTTTTTCAAAAAAGGGGAATACAATTCCGCAATTTTTTTTCTGCGGTTCTTTCGCATTATCGGGGGGAATCGAAATTTTTTATACAAGTCCAGGTATGCCTAGTAACTTAATAGAAAGTAATTTAATAGTGTTTTTCATGAATATAACAATTTTTCAACGAGATGAGCTATCTAAAAATGTTTTAAATACAAAATTTTTGCCAAAAATCGGTCGTTTTTGATCGGTCAATCGATTTTTTGGCGTTTTTTTAATAGAAACGTGTAAAATTTTGACGTAGGAATAGTAAAAATTGTTTAGAAACCCTATCGTTATTGAAAAATCGGATTCTGATAAAAAAGCCCCCGATAATGCGAAAGAAGTAATTCGGTGACATGGATTTTTGGCTCGATAGGGATTCGGCGAGTAAATTAAAAATAGCTAAACTGAAAATTTTGATAATTATTGTTTTCCAGATCCGCGATGCGCTGGTGTACAGCGTGCTGGGCGATCTGCTCGGCTGCTTCGCCATCGATCGAACCCTCAACTATTTCCTGGGTGATATGTTCTAGGCTTTTTCCCCTCCTTATTTATTGTCTTCTTTGTTAAGCATAATCCGATGCCATAGCCCCCAGCCAAATTGTCTTTCTTTTTCTGTTGTTTTTTTGGGTCTGCAAATAATTCTTAAAAATTAGACTACTGTAATTCCCTCGTTCCTTTCCCCAAATGGCTATTCTCAAATCTTCTCGAGTTGTGATATTTGCCGCTTTGATCCTCATCTTCGATAGAATGTGATCGCCTATATTCTCTTCTCTTTTCGTTTAAATTAATTTAATGCCCGTGTTTTTTATGCGCTAGTTTTTGCCGGATATAAACGATTTTATTTAATGCCTGTTGAACGGACGCTTTTTACACTCGATGACACCGATAAGGCTTCTGATTTTGTTGTTGATTTCTCGATTTAGATTTAGATTTTTTGGTGATTTTAGGTATTTTCGGTTCCATTGTTGAGAGAAACTAGAACATTTGGGTCTTGTGCATTATCGGGGAGGGGGCTCCTAAAAACGTCGAAAAGGATATCTTTGTAGCAGAAAAATTGGATACCAGGAAAAACTTGGCACTACTTAAAAAATTTTCCACTGGATATCGGGCGAATAAAAGCGGGAATTTTGGATTTTGGCTAACATGAAAGACAAGCTTGAAAACGTCATTTTCACAAACTTTCCTGGCTAAAACCTACAACCTTCGTTTCGCTTATTTATTATAGAAAATAGATCACGGCACAGAAAAGCTATCTTTGAGCGGATCGGTCGGAAAAAGCGGAATTTTTGATTTCGGTTGCCAGCTTTTGAAAAGCGTCATATTTTGCGAATTGTTTAGGCTGGACACCACAACCTTCGTTTCGCCTATTTTTCCCCGACAATCCTATAGTTCTATCTTAATTTTTCAGATCCTTGCCACCCAAAAACCATTTTAAGCCTTTTTTCATTGCTTTTCCTGTTCAATCCTGGATTTCCATCCTTTATTTTCAGATGGACGACGACGATGGGCTGGCCCTGAAGACGTTCCGCGTCTCGGCCATCAAGACGTTGACGGACTATTGTCCCGAATACTCTCTCAAACCCAGCCTCAAGTAAGCCAGCTTCTAAATTACAATCTTTTGCTTTTAGAAAAAGCTCGGCGGCGATCCCCGAATCGAGGAAAACGGCATGGGATCGTCTCAGGGACGATATGTTTGCCACGCTGGATCCCGTCGTTTTTCTCAAGTAAATTTTACAAAACTTATGATTTATTAGCTAAAAGTTCATAATTAATGATTTCCAAGGAACTTTTGCCGTATCGGCGGGTCTAGAAGTTCAGATCTGGCCAGTAAAGAGTAAAATGTACTTTAATGGCCTTTTTACGAAAATTTAGCACTTTTTTTAGTTTGGAAAACTATAAAAAACTTGGTAAATTTTCCAAATCTTATGGTTGATTGGCTAAAACTTATTAATTACTAATTTTCAAGGCACTTTTGCAATATCGTGGGACTTGTTTGGTAACCCAATAATTTGTATTTTAACAGTGTTCTTATGAGAATTTAGCGATGTTTCAAGCGGAAGATTTGATAGAAACTTCGAAATAAGTTTGAAATTTTTAATTTCGACCGAAAATCGGGCATTTTTGTTAGATAAATCGATTTTTTTCACGTTTTTATGTATGATATATTTGAACAATTTGACGTTAGTAGCACCATTAAAAAACGGATAGAACCACCGCGATTGTTTTTATTCTAAAAATTCGATCCTTAGAAATGCTAGGAAATATTTTAATTTGTAAAATCCCGATTTTAGAGCCGAGCTCGACCCAGCGGGCAAATTGCTGGCGGTGCACGAGGCGGTGAAGGGCAGCGAAGAGCTGGGTGGCACCAACACGAACATGTCATTACAAAGGTATATCCGTATTCTCTGGCGTCAAATTTCGGCTTAGAGCCCCGTTCCACGGCGCCGTCACCATCAAGGGCTCCTCCAACAATGTCCCCTTCTTCCCTGGTCGGTTTTTCATTTTAAATTTTTAAACTTAAATATTTTTAAATCGTTAAATTATTTTTATTTGCTTTTTTTGTGGTAATATTTGTTGTCATATCAATAAATTAAGTTTGCTACTGTTTTTACCATCTCTAAAAATAAAAACCTTACTAATTTGTAGGGAAAAGTACAAAAAATCTAATTTTTCCACCAAAATTTAAAATTTTTGACTGTTTTTAAAGTTTTCTAAAATTTTTTTACGTCGAACATGGTCTGATTTTACTAAAAAATACTATCAAACTACTTGCTATACGTGACAGGCTTTCCTAGGCTTTTAGAAAAAAAAATCTTATCATCCGAAAATCCCCAAAAAGACTTATTTTGACTTATAAAAATGTAATAAAACGTAAATAAAATCAATAATAAACCACTGAACGTAAATAAAATAAACAGTGATTCAATTAACGTAAATAAACTAATGAATGAATGAAAATGTCTGTCAAAATATAACCCCCTTTTTCAGGCGGCTTCGACGAGGAGCTGTCCCGGATTCTGGAGATGTCGCACGACGTCACGCTCCAAAACGACGAGGAGCGCTACCTCGATTTCACCGGTTTGTCTATGGCTTTTAGCTAGAACATTTTTGTTTCTAGAATTGCTGAATCGCCCGCCCGGCTTCCAGTACGACGTCGAGTTGGCCGTCGCTCAGCCACAGCAGCCGCAAGCCGATCAGATTGCCGTCGAGCAACCGGAAGTTGTTGAGGTAAAAAAATGGAGCTTTTAGAAATAGGTTTTTTTTTTAAATGGAAAAAAGTTCGTCTGAATCTCATGAAAGTTTTATGGAGCTTGTTTAAAAACGAGTTTTGAAAATGTTTAAAATCTGGAAAGTTCGTCTGGCCGCTTTTTTGTCGGTTCTTTAGTATTTTCAGGGTCTTAATTTTGTATAATAAATCGAGAGGTGCTTTTGAACCAATTGGAAGCGCCAAATTATCATTTTTTATTAGCAACTCAAAATCTATCAATCTCAATCTCAATCGCAACTCAATCCGTTTTCCTTGAAAAAATTTCTAAATTTTAGGCATTTTTCGAAGTTTTTACATGTTTTTCGGGCATTTTATTGAATTTATTGAAAAGTGCTATTAAAATAATGCTATTAGATGAATTGGCAGAAACTTGGCTTATAGGAAAAATTCTAGTCTAATAAAAAATTCCTACATTTTTAAAACAAAAAAATAACAAACTCAAGTAAAATATTTTTGCAGACTCCCGCCGCGCCGCCAGTCGAATTGAGCACGAGGGATCTGTTCGATTTCCTCGGCGGATCGATCGGATTCGAGCTGACTGAGCAGGCGACGGTGAAAAGGGCGGACGAGGCGAAGAAGCGGAAGAAGCCGACTGACAAGCTCGAATCACCACTCGCTCAACCCCCCGACCAACCAGTTGAGGGAACCGAGAATTTGGAGGTGAGAAAATCTATTTTTTTTTAGTGAAAACATGATTTTTTAGGTGGTGCTGAAAAGGCCCCTCCACGAGCCGTCCCTTCTCCTCGCCCCGAAATATGCATACGCAAAACGGATCGACACCCAGACGGACATTCCCGAATATAAGGACGTGTTCCCGAGGATGGCCAGAGAGGTATGGTAGTTGTGTGGCTTTTTTAAATGATGAAGCGTGGTTCTTTGGCAATATCGGGGGGGGGGATTGCTGACAGATTCATATGTGTATAGTCATGTAATCGCGTTCTGACGAAAATTTGGCTAGATTTGAGGCTGAAAAATGAGGACATTTTTGAAAAATTCAATTTTGATAGTTAATTGATATTTATGATTTTTTTAGTCAGACTTATTAAAGTTTACGCACGTACGTGAACGTTTACGAATTGCAACTTTTTTTAAAAGTTTGTTTGATCGGAAATTGCCAATTTTGGTCAAATACCATTATTTTTTGAATTTTTTTCAGTAGTGGTTTCACGGCAGGAAAAGCAAAACAACAGTCTGGCAATACTTCCTCTATTTATATCAGGCCCCCCCCCCCCCGATAATGCCAATGAACCAAATACCGTATATTTTTTACAGTACCCCTTCCCGCTGGACCCATTCCAACAGGCGGCCATTTGCGGGATGGAGCGCGGGGAGAGCGTCTTTGTCGCCGCCCACACCTCAGCAGGCATTCTTATTTGCCGCTACCGTAATCCCCATTTTAGGCAAAACGGTGGTGGCCGAGTACGCCATCTCTCTGTGCAAGGCGCACAAAACACGTGCCATCTACACCTCACCCATCAAGGCACTCTCCAACCAGAAATTTCGCGATTTCAAGGTAACGCTGAATCGGCTGGTACTGGACTGTTAGCGGGGGGGGGCAGGTTGCCTAAACCCTTTTCTATCGAATTTTACATTGTTTTTAGAGATAAAAGCTCTGAAAAAAATCATAAACATATTTCAAATTTTGGATTGCTTTTCAAAATGTATGAAAAATGGTCAAAAAAGCAAAGTTTTCGAATTTTCAATGATTTTAAAATATTTTTATAATTTCTTAGGGATCAGAAACTTCTCAAAATTAGCGGAAAATGAAAAATTACCCCCCCCGCTACCAGTCCAGTGCCAATCGGCTTATTTTTTCACATCCTGCTGCCAAGACATCTGAATAGATTACGACAGCTAATTCCTATTGTTTTAGATGATCTTCGAAGAGGTGGGCCTGGTGACGGGCGACATTCAGCTGCACCCCGAAGCCTTTTGCCTCATCATGACCACCGAGATTTTGAGGTACCGATCATTTTTATGTCGTTTTCGTTTTGAGGTTCTTTCGCATTATCGGGGGTGGGGGGGCGGGTGTACAGAATTTTCCGAAATTTTTGTATACAATTTCAGTCCAGAAGTTCCTAGTCAGATAGACGCAATTCTAAGCTGCTTGAAATTTTCTAAAAATTCGAAATTGATCGAAAACTCGATCTTGTTATTTAGATTGCTCTATTTATCTTCGAAAATGTTCGATGTTCGAAACAATTAAAGAAATCCCCCGCCCCGATAATGCGAGGCTAGCTAGCAGAGTTCTTTGAGGATGTTATCATTTCTAAATGGTGCTTATTTTTCGTGATTTTCAGATCGATGCTGTACAATGGTTCTGAAGTGATTCGAGAGCTCGAATGGGTCGTCTTCGATGAGGTGCACTATATCAATGATGTCGAGAGGGGCCACGTCTGGGAGGAGGTACTATAGTGTTTTCGATGCTTTATTTCCTAATTTTAAATTTTGTCGAAAATCCGACGTTTTTCATGCCAAAAAAACTTACGGATTTTTTAATAAAAATTATAATGTCTTTGCGCTAGGAAATAATAATAAAAAAATGTCGAAACTCTAATTTTAATCTATGTTTTAGGTGCTGATCATGCTGCCGGCGCACGTGAAGATTGTGATGTTGTCCGCCACCGTGCCCAATGCCGATGAATTTGCCGATTGGGTCGGGTGGGTGGAATTAGGGATTTTCTTGATTTCATCTGATTTTCAGGCGAATCAAGAATCGTCGAATTGAGGTGGTATCGACGAATAAGAGGCCTGTGCCATTGGAACATCATCTCTACACTGGACAGGTTCGAAATTTGATTTCTCTCTCTGTCTCTCACTTGCTCTCTCTCTCTCTCTCTCTCTCTCTCTCTCTCTCTCGCTCGCTCGCTTTAAATTTATATTATCTATTGGCTATCAATATCCCGAGTTTTCAGAATGTAAAGCTTCGAATCACGCATTTTAAGAATCCCGAAATTTCGTTTCTTTCGCATTAGCGGGGGAAGGGGGGCATTTCGCATCACTCTAAAAAAAATTTTAAAGCCGAAATTTTGCTCCAAAATCAGTGGTTTTTGGTGGAAAATTTGGGATTTTTTTAAGAAAATTTGCCTAGGTTTTAATCTTTAGAACCTTTAATTTTTCTTTAATTTTAATTTAGAATAAAAAAAAATCGATCTTTAGAATAAATTGCCCGCCCCCCTGATAATGCGAAAGAACCATTTTTTCGTAGGTTCAGAACCTTCGAAATTACGATAATGCGTGATTATGATTTTCGTCAGGGTGTCCATCTTTTTTTCATCATCTTTTTCAGGACGGAAAGACGCGACACGACATCTTCCTGGTTGTCGACAAAACGGGCTCATTCCAGGATGCCGGCTATCGAAAGGCAAAAGAAGCAAAGGTACGCATTCTATCCATTAATTCTCCATTATTATTCTCTAGGAGGGCATCAAAAAGACGGCCAACAGCATCCGAGGCGGCAAACAACAATTCCAGGGAGGCGGAGGAGGGCACAATCGCAATGTGAGCATTTTTGCAGGATTTCTGTATCTCTATCTCTCGCTCTCTCTCAATTGCTCTCTCTCTCTCGCAGTTTGTCTCTCCCTTTCTCTCTCTCGCTCTCTCCCTCGCTGTCTCTTTCACTTAAATTTTTCAATTTGCCCATTTTTGATTTTTGCCTTTCTAAGCTTTTTTTTTGGATGTTAAGTAGGTTGGAAGGACTGTTAACGGCATTACTGTGAAAATTCCGCTCCCCCCGCTAACAGCCCAATACCGTTGGAAGCTCCTCGTATCGTTTTTTATTCCATTTTTCAGGACAAGAACATCTACATCAATCTGGTGGATCATTTGCGGTCGAGGGACCAGTTGCCCGTCGTCTGTTTCGTCTTCTCCAGGAAAAGGTGCGCTGCTGTGGTGTGGAAATTGAATTATTTATGCTTTTTTTTTGTAGATGCGACGATAATGCGCAGATGCTGTTGTCGATGGATTTGACGACGGCCCTCGAGAAGAACCACATCCATCGATTCTTTCATCAATGCGTTCAGAGGCTCAAGGGAAGCGACAAACAATTGCCACAGGTATTACTAGCTCTCTCTCTCTCTCTCTCCCTCCGTTTATCTTTCTCGCTCTCTCTCACTCACGCTCTCGCGCTGTCTTTCTATCTCTCTCGCTCTCTCTCGCTCTCTCTATTCTCTCTCTCTCACTAGCTCTCTCTCGCTCTCGCGCTGTCTTTCTATCTCTCTCTCTCTCTCTCTCTCTCTCTCTCTCTCTCTCTCTCTCTCTCCCCCCCCCCTTTCTCTCTATCCAATCTTTTCCAGGTGCGTGTCCTGGGCGAGCTGTGTCAACGTGGTATCGGTGTCCATCATTCCGGCATCCTTCCGATCCTCAAAGAAGTTGTCGAACTCCTCTTCCAAAAGGGATATGTCAAGGTATTTCGGAACAGATTCATGGGTTCTTGTCTGTTAGCGGGGGGGGGACTTTTTGTTTTTCCGCCTGTTGATGATGCGTGGTGTGGTTTTGTGGTGTTTTTTAGCAGTCTTTGATTGCCAGGAAGTTATAAACAATCTTTTAAATTTGCAACTCGAAAATTCAGATTTATTTTTTTGGGCATTTTTCATACGTTTTTGGCCAAAAGTCAAAAATTTTCGAAAAATTATTATGTTCATATGATATTTATAGTATTTTTATAAAAATTGGTTCTATTTTGTTGTAGGGCTGTAGAAAAAAACTAGCGAAAAATTTGGTTTCTCTCCCCGCTAACCCCCCCCCCCCCCCCCCCCGGCTAAGAGAACAGAACCAGATATTTTATGATATTTTTGCAGGTATTAATGGCGACGGAGACATTCGCAATGGGTGTCAATATGCCAGCCCGTACCGTCGTCTTCGATTCCATCCAAAAACACGACGGAAAAGAGCTGCGCCTTCTCACCCCCGGCGAATATGTTCAAATGGCTGGAAGGGCTGGGAGAAGAGGTCTCGACGATACCGGCAATGTTATTGTTCTATGCAAAGGGCAGTATCTGGTTGATGCTCAAGAACTCAAGGACGTCACCATGGTCAGTAGTTTTCTTTGTTTTTTTTTTGTTTCAATCATTCCTTTTCAGGGCCGCCAATCCGATCTGCAATCCAAATTCCGCGTCACCTACACGATGCTGCTCAATTTGTTGCGCGTCGAGCAGTTGAAGTCGGTTTTCAGTGAAGCTTAGCTTTTTAAATAAACGAAAAATTATTATGCTTTTGATCGAAAAATTCATTTTTATTATTTAAGTTGAAAATTCTGTTTAAAAGTAATTTTTAAAATTATGTGAGATCGCAATATGTTCCAGGTACTGTTTAAATTGCGTTAATGATTTAACGTACTAAATCCTAAATTATTGGTTTTTATTTTTAATCCCCTGTTGCAGGATTGAGGACATGCTGCAGCGGAGTTACGTGGAGAGTGGATCGTTGCGGAATGCGCTGAAGGTGAAGGAACAGCTCGAGATGGTCAGTCGATCCACCCCCCTCTTCCCTTCAATGTCCCTTTAGGAGCGCGACAAGCTCAGCGAGTTTACCCTGCCCGACTGTTGCCACTGTTTCCCGGAAGTCGGCCAGACAGCAGCCCTCTCGCAATATGTCCAGGAGATGACCAAATATTACCAACTGTACGTTTTTACGATTTTATGCTTGATTTCGAATTTTTATTATTAAAAATCTTGTTTATGTTTGTTTTTTCGTTTTTAACTTCTTCTTTTCAGGCGTTGCCAACTGTGGGAGCATTTGTGGAAGGAGCCGGGCGTCTCGGCTGCCCTAATTGCTGGCCGAGCAGTGGTGGTGAATACGGGAAGATACGGACTCGGCACCAGGGTCGCCATTCTCATCAAGGTATTTTTATTGCTGTTTTTGTTTATAAAAGTTGACAATATTTCAAGCAGAGGCATTATTTAGAACGAATTTAAAAGTGTTCGACAATGATTTTTGTGCAAAAGAAACGCTATTTGCATTTTTTTAAAATAGAAATTCGTGGCCTTTCTGGCGTCTCGCAAAAATCCCCCCCCCCCATAATGCCAAAGTCCTCGCGAAACCGCAGAATTTTCCTAAAAGAAGTTTCTCGATAAATCCAGATATACATAACAATAATTTTCGATTTATTTCTTGAAACGACTGTCTCAAAATTGGCAATTTAAAATGCTTTATTTTTGTATATTTTGTATATTTAAACCTCTTTTGTAGATGATGGCCGACAAGCTGCGCGTGGTTATCCCCTGCGACAAGGAGGAGCTCTTCGTCACCAAGGACGTCGACACCGTACGTTTCAAAATATTTTAATTTCGAATTTTAAACCTTTTAATGATATTTTTCTAGGTGGGCGACGAAGAGGCTGGTGTTCGTGCCCTTGTACTCTATGGTGTCGATGGATGTGAGAAGCAAATTGGCAACTACGATGAGATTAGCATGAGGTGATTTTTCTCTCAAACAATCCCTGCTAGCTGTTCTTTTTTTTGGATTTTTGCCGCCAATTTTAGGCATAATCCTAAATTTACTCTGCTAGTTCTCGCTTTTACGATCCACGATTCTCTGCTAGATTGCCCCATTTTTTACTGCCCGATTTTTAGACATAATCCCAAATGTTCTCTGCTATCTACCCACCTTTTTGAATGACCATTTTGCAGACTGCTCGAACTCGGTCCCTCCTCTCTGGTGGGCATCTGCAAGAATCTCTTCAAACTCGACAAGACCCCCATTAATGCCGCCGATTTCGACAATGAAGTTCAGAGGGCTAGCATGCCCAGATTCAGGTACCATTTTGCTGCTTTTCCGTTAACGGGGGTAGTCCCATTTTTCTACTCATTTTTAATAGTCCTAAATTCGTTGTTTAGACTACATTTAGTTTGATTTCGTTCAAATACAAAAATTCGGATTTTTCGATATTGCAAATTTCTAGGTTTAATTTAAATTTAACAATTTATTTATTTTGAAAAATACATTTTTCCGAATTTTAACAAAATATAAATTTTTAACAATTTATCAAATTTCTAGATTGGAATTATTATTTAATTAAAAAACATTGGTATTAATTTTATCATTATTATATTGAAAGTTTTCACTTTTTCCAAGTTTTCTAAGCAATTTTCTTGGTGAAATGTTACATTTTTTATTTATATTCGTCCGAAAGTGCCGCGGTTTCTGATCCCCATAAATTCGTGAATTTAGGAAGCACCGTTTGAATGAGCCGTACGAGAGATTGATGCTCAACCTCGTCCAATACACCAACAAATTCTCCCCATCCGAATATCAAGAGATCAGAGGCCATATCAAGGTATTATTGGTACTTTTGCAATATCGGGGGGGGGGGACGGGGGAAGTTCCCTTGTGTCCAGAACGTGTTTTTATCGTCATTTTCATAAAGAAATTTTTTGGTACTTTTGCAATACCAGGGGGGCATGGATTGATAATGTAGAAAGTGTATTTAATAGTATGTTGAACAAAATGTAGGCATATTTTGGGTGGCAAAACTGTTTAGAAACCTTGGAAAAAGTTTAAAATTGTCGATTTTCATTTAAAAAAAATGTATTTGTGTTTTCAATCAAATTTTGTCGTTTTTGATGTTTAAGAATAGTAAAAAAATTGTGCTGAAACGCATACTCTATTTATACGATAAAATTGGATCCTGAGGAATTCCCACCCCCCGATATTGCCAAAGAATCAAATTTTTAAATTCCCATTTTTTTTTCCAGCTGAAAGACATGATGAACCAAGAGATGTCGTTCTATTTCGACTCTTCCCGTGAACACGTCCGCTCTCTCCGTGCCCAATGGAATCCCCTTCACTGTGTCGCCCTCGAAAAGCATGTACGTAGTTTTTATTTTTTAAATTTAAATTTTTTTTAGTTTATCAATTTTTAAAATTTTAATTATTGAATTTTACATTTTGAGATTATTTTTCATTAATATATTTTTTCAAAATTTAGTTATTTGGTGGCATAAAAATACCAATGTATGGAAAATGGAAAAAGATTTTTATATTTATTAGGAGTAGTTATATATAAATATAAATCCCAAAATTAGTAAATCCTACTATATATAAAAAAATAGTGTCTGTGTGTGTGTGTGTGTATATTTGCATGCACTTCCGTTAGGATGTTCCGCTCCTACAGCCTCGGGTTCCGGAATCGACTGCACACAGATAAAAATTTTGAAAGATTGTGATTTTCGCTATTAAAAATAGGTTTTTGTAAAACCCTGTTTGTTAGGGGAAATTAGCATACGCCGGAAGTGGAGGAGGCTTATAAAAAGGAAGGAAGGGCGTGGTTTTCATTTTTTGGTGATCGGCTTTCGAAAACAATTATGCAAAGTCACTACTTTCATAGGTCCTAGACGGGGCCAGGGTTGAAAAGCCGCGAAGCGGTTTTTCAACCCTCGTTTGTATTAAGAAAACAAGGAAATTTTTAAAATGTTAATTTGGAGTAAAAATTAGCAAAAATATCCTACTATATATAAAAAAATAGTTCAGGTGTGTGTGTGGACACTTTGCATAAATGGCTCGAAAAAACCGGGTTACCAAGATATCGGGGAGGGGGGGATCAATTTTAGGACCCAGTCGAAAAGTATTTAGGGGTAGTCGAGGGCGTAGATTACTGCAAGCTTATCAGATCCTACCTTATATAATTTGGTCGCGTATCTTTGTGTGTGTGTGTGTCCGGAGGTCAGTTTCGTGGCCCGATTTGAGGGCCTTCCCGTGTCCAAAATGCCCTAATTCTCCGTCACCCGGGGGGAATCGACCCTCCTCTTTCCGATGGCGCTTTCAGAATCCCCATAAAATACAAGTTTACAAAGTTAAAGCCGGTTTTATTGATTTTTGGGGGTCCGGCGGACTAATTTGCATAATGCGAAAAAATACAAATTTCCTCATTCTTGCCAGTTGCACTCGCGAGTTTGGTCGTCTCTTTGGATCTGCCTCTCGATGCTTTTCCTTCCCCTGCCCCGGGCAGTCCTCTTGAGGCATAAAACGGGTGTTGACGCGTGCTGCCAAACATTGCATGGTGTAGTGGTTAGCGCTTCGCCTTGCTAATCTAACCATCGGAGGTTCGATCCTCGGATATCTTAGTTGTTTTGCTTTTTGCTCGGAAAGTGCGTTTTGGAGTGGATTTCCGTGTCGGGACGTTATTATGAAATTAGTCACTCAAGCCGCAGCCTATAGAATGAAGCTACCCGCTCAAGCATGCGCCGCAGGCCAAGGAATCAAGCTAACTGCTCAAGCTAGCGCCGCAGACTTTGGAACGAAGCCAGCCGCTCAAGCTAGCGCCGCAGACTTTGGAACGATGCTAGCCGCGGAAACTAGCGCCGCAGGATAAAGGTTCATGCCGGCCCCTGAAACTGGCGCGGTAGGCTGCGGAAGGAAGCTAGCCGGGGAAGCTAGCGCCGCGGGCCCAAGGTCAGAGCTAGCCCTTCAAAACTTCGCCGCGGGATAAGGAGGCTCAAGCTAGCGCCGCAGGCTTTAGAACGAAGCCAGCCGCTCAAGCTGGCGCCGCAGGCTTTCGAACGAAGCTAGCCGCTCAAGCTAGCGCCGCAGGCTTTAGAACGAAGTCAGCCGCTCAAGCTGGCGCCGCAGGCTTTAGAACGAAGTCAGCCGCTCAAGCTGGCGCCGCAGGCTTTAACGAAGCTAGCTGCACAAGCCAGCGCCGCAGGCTTAAAGAAGGAGGTAACCGCTCAAGCTGGCGCCGCAGGCCAAAAAAGGAAGCTAATCCCTCAAGCTTGGGCCGCAGGATGAGGTAGCGACCTAGCCGATCAGACATGCGCCGCAGGCCTAATAACGAGACTAGCAGTTCAAGCTTGCGCCGCATACCAATACAATGAGGTTTGCATGAGAGTGTGCGTTGCGAGCATGCGTTTTTCTTTCTTCAGGGTAACTTTATTTGGAAGGGCGCTCGATTAATAGGGCCTAGACGGGGTCCAGCGGGGGAGAGTCGCGAAGCGGCTCCTCCCCCGCTGGTTTTTAATAAAATATCGATTTATACCTTATTTTAGCTATTTTAAAACATATGGAAATATCCTCATTTGCATACGAGGCGCTAGGAGGCTCATTTCGCATTTTGTCGCGCTAGCGGCCGGTTGCTTTTACCGTTTTTGGGTTCGCTCCCGCTCTTCGCTCGAATTATGCAAAGTGCCCAACTTTGAGAGTTCCGTGCGCGAAGGCCAAGGGTGAAAAGCCGCGTAGCGGCTTTTCAACCCTGGTAGACTCTTAAAATAGTAAAATGTTGTAGGTTAATGTGGGTTTTTTTCAGTTGACCTCGTTCCTGTTGCGCAGCCGTCAGCAGCAAGTGGTGGAGAAGATCAAGCAGAAACTGTCGCCCGACAGTCTGGCTCTATCAAATGACTATCACGATCGATTGAAGGTATCATCTACGATTGGTCACAAATTCCCCCGTTTGTTGTAGATGCTCAAAATGCTGGACTACGTCGATACGCACGATATGGTCACGTTCAAGGGCAGGGTCGCATGCGAAATTCATCATCAGGTATGTTTTTGGCCTTTCGCCGCCTATTTTCGAAAATTGCTGCTACTGGGCTGTTAGCGGGGGGGGGGGGGAAGCCTTTTTTGTTTTTCCGCCTATTAATGTGGTTTTATAGTGTTTTTGGCGGTTTTTGATTGCCAGCAAGCTTTAAAAATCCTTTTAAAAGTATTTAAACATATTCAAGCATTGAAAATTCTGATCTTTTCTGCCATTTTTCATAGATTTTTTCACCAAAAGTGAATAATTTCGAAATTTTTTGGTTTAAAAACAATGTAAAACGCTATAAAAATGGTCTGGATTTCTGTATCGGGCTGTACGGGATTACTGGGGAAATCCCCCCCCCCCCCCCGCTAAGAGTCCAGTACCGATTTTCCCCGCCAGCATATCTGTCTAGACCTAGCCAATGGAAGGGGTAGATTCTCGAATTTCTTAGACTCTTTAAATTTTGAAAATTAGCGGAATTCTATGGATTATTAATGGGTGTTTTTAGGAGCTGCTGATCACGGAGCTGATCCTCGACGGGAAATTGCATTCTCGTGCTCCAGAGGAAGTTGCTGCTCTTCTCTCCGCTACCACATGCCAATACAAGGGATCCGAACAGACGCTCAACCATCAAATGCCCATTTTTGTCGAGGTAAGCTTCGTTTTTTTGGATTTTTAAAATGTTGAAATCGTAAATTTAAATAATTAAATTAATGATGATTTTCGTTTTAACTCTTTTTTTTTAATTTGTACGCAAAACTATGATTCTTAGCCATATATAAATTTCGTTTAATTTGATTAATTTTTCTCGCGTTTTCAATTTTTTAATTGTTTAAATTCTAAATTTGAAGTGTATAATTATAACTTTTTGTAATTAAATTTAGATTTTATTAAATATGTATTTAAACTGTAATTTAATTTTCAATTTTTGGTCCGCCTTCTTTTTAGAAAGTTGATTGGATTTAAATTTTTATTTTGGTTTGTTTTTTTGGTTCGTTGGCATTACTTCGGTACTGTGGCATTATCGGGGGGGGGGATAGATTTCCCCTAATCCCAGTTTTTCTAATTTAGAGCTAAAAATGTTTTTAAACTCTTTTGTTATTGGTCCGAAATGTCAAAAACGACAAAAATCGACGAATCCATTGATTGTTATTTGTTTAGTTGATGCGTGACGTGCTGAACACGCAGGATCGTATCCAGGCCAACGCCCGTGTCGCCCGACTCAACTTGGAAGAGGTCGGCATTCTTGAGTTTCTATAAAAACAATTTTTTAGGTGGGCGACGAGTTGCGGTTCGATTTGATGGAGGTCGTGTATCTATGGGCCAGGGGAGAGGTTCGTGCTTTTTCTTATTTCTTCTTATCGTCGGTTCTTGTCCTTTAACGTAGGGATCCAAAAAATTCTAAAAATTTTCAAAAAGTGATTTTTGGCGGGTTTCGACTTTTTAAATGTTTAAAAATCATTTAATCATTTTTATTTATAGAACGTTTAGAAAACGTTTTTATAGTTTTTATAGTTTTCTTTTATTCATTTTGATTTTTGGTCAAAATTTAGGAATAAGGCGATTTTTTCGAAATTTAAATGTGAAAAATAATTTATGACTTTTTCTAGCAATCAAGAACTGCTGAAAACTATGTAAAAATCCAGTATTTATTTATTAACGTCGCTGGCAAGATAAAAATTGGCTCCCCCCGTTAAAAGGAAAGATCTCTATTTATTCTTTGTTTTTCAGAGCTTCGCGGCGATTATGGAGAAGACTGACTGCCAGGAGGGTCTCATCGTCCGTTGTATCCAACGACTCGGAGAGGTACGCCCCGATTTTTGGTGCTTTGGCATTTACGGGGGGCGCCAGAATTTTTCGTCTTTTTTTTTGGGAATTCGAAATTCCTGAAATATCTTTGCTGTTATCATATTTTGTATTACTTTTTAATGGATATTTTGGCCTTTCCAGCCAGAAAATTAAGTTCCCCCTGCAACTAGCAAAGATCCTGGTTTTTAATATTTTTGGGGTATCGTAATTGCTGAAAGATGTTTGCTATTTTACTATGAAATTGGTTTAATTGCTTTACCAGGCCTTTCTGGACTGTACGAAAAATCCCCCCCGAAAATAGCAAAGATCTGGGCGTTTTTGTGGATAAAGGAAATTCCTAAAAGATCTTTGCTAGTTTACCATTAAAATAGTTTATATAATTTATCATACCGGCATAGGTTTCTCTGGACGTGCAAGAAAAAAACAGCCCCCCCCCGGAAATGCCAAAGATCCGGTTTTTTTAAATTCTTTGGATAGTGGCAATTCCTAAAAGATCTTTGCTAGTTTGCCAATCTCCCTTTTTCGTGTCCCCTTTAACCACTGTCTCTGAATTAATTTTCTTTTTAATATATTAGATATATATGTTTAATTAAATTGTTATTAGATATTTAAATATTATTTTTTAATTTGATATATATAAATTTAACTTCCCCTTTTTAGGTATGCAAAGACGTGCGAAACGCGGCCCGTATCGTCGGGGATCCGGCTCTATTCGAAAAGATGGAACAAGTGTCCTCGGCAATCAAAAGGGATATTGTATTTGCTGCCTCTCTTTATACTGCCGCCTAATTTCGATTCCCTACTCTGATTGTCTAATTTGATGTATCAGCCCACCGTTCTTCGTGCCGTCTTAATTGTCTGCCTTATGCCTGTGTCTCTCTGTCATACGAGTCTCTGATTGCCGGTCGTCTCTTGGACACCTCTCTTGCTAAGGCCTTGTTTTTCTAAAAGCTCTGTTTCTAAAGGCCATTTTTTCTGAAAGCCGCTTTTTCTAAGCTCGGATATTCGGTAGCCCTTTGTTCCAAAGCCAAATTTACAGAACCACTCACAATTCAAATCGAACCTTTTGCAACGGAAAAGGGCTTCTTTGATATGTTTTTGCACTGCCCATCTCTACTTACAGCCGAAAGAGCCTGTAAAAAAGGTTCACATTTTGTTCAGAACTTTGAAATGGCGAACACGAGCCCTAAATACTCTCGTCAAAAGGCGAAGCAATAAGTGGCATATCTTTCAATTTGTGAGTGGATCTGTAAATTCTCTTTTAGAATAAGGGCTACAGAATATCCGGGTTTAGGAAAAGCGGCTCGTAGGAAAAATGGCCTTTAGGAATAAGGGTTTTTAGCAAAAAGGATGGTGGACCGGTTATCTCTCTGGTATTCGTATTGTGTATCTGTGTCGACCCCCGAAATAAACTTTTGAATGGGAACGTTGGGTTGAAATGTTCTCTTTCGTCAACCTATATTTTTATCGGGTTCTTTGGCATCATCAGGGGGGGACCGAACTTTTTTATGTGGTCTAAAAATGCCTAGTAACTTTACAGAAATTGTTTTAATAGTGTTTTTAGTAATTGATAGCTAGATTTTAGCTAGAAAAGCTATCTTAAAACTTCAAAAAAAATCGCAACTGCCGCAAAAATCGGCCATTTTTGTCGAAAAATCTAGATTTTTTGGTGAGATTTATATTTGGCAAAGTTTTATCTTAGAAAAAATTCGGTACCCCCCCCCCGATAATGCCAAAGAACCATGGAATGATTGATGACCACTGCCTTGATTTATTAGCAATATTAACCTCATTTTTCAAATTCATCATAGATTCTTGACTTTTAGTAGGGGGAAACCAACTTCCAGTCTTTCGAATATACGCGGCGGAAGTGTTTCGAAACCTTTGTTTTACTATTCTAAACGTGCAAACGACTAATCCTCACTAAAATGATATAAAAATATCGCGACTTTTCGCCCAACACGTCAGTGGGAAAGATTCTTTCTATCGTTGTAAAAGCATTGTGTTTCGCTCAAAACTCGGAATGCTACGGTCCCAAAACCTTATCGTTGGCCCCTTGGCGAAGGGGCTCCGCTTCCGACCGATCAGATGGTGGAAAAGAATCCACTGACTATGGCCAGGATTTCTTATCAACCCCCTGGTTGTCTTTGTGCTCTAGCTTTTACATCTGTCGATGTGACCGAGCTCCTCCAACAACCAATCTGCTGCACTAATGTCTCATGTCGTATACCAAAACGTATGAATATGTGTTGGTTTTTAAACTATGTCCTAAGAAAATATCTTAAATCTATTTAGCTAAAATTCAACCTTACCACTTACTGCCGGTTTTACTGCATTTTCGGGTTTCATGGGGACTTTGAAAACAACGCGCAAAACTACGTTCGAAGAACAAGATTGTTGCATTGTAAATGTTGTTGTTGTTGTTTGTATTGAAGGATTGTTGTAAAGAAGTTTTCCTAATAAGTATAACCCCCGGAGCCGTGAAGCAATGCCCCCCTTTAAAGGAATATCGGAATTCCTTGCAGACAGGATATTTTAGCAGGAATCTTGCAAAAAAATTCAATTTTGTTAAACTGGTTATGCAATAAAGACGCAAGTTTTGGTCCAAATGTTCTAAACCGGACGTGCGCTCTATCTCTGATACAAGATTGCACTGTATGTAGATACACAGATTAGTAGAACAAATTTTCGACTAGAATCTTCCAAGTAAACTGTAATTTTTTTCAAACCGATTATGAATTAAATACGTCATGAATTAAGAAGTGTGCAGGGTCTCGGGCAGGGAATATGATGTTGGATTCTAATCGCTAAGTCTCAACGAAACCCTCTATTTTCGATTAATAGGGGTCCAAACTATTATTTTTGCAAATTTTATTTGAGCCATGTGGTAGGCCGCATTCTAAATTACACATTAGTGTGTCGCTCAGTTACTTTCAAAATGAGTTTGCGCAGATGTGCAGATGTCCAGGGAAGACATACAGGGTGGGCCAAGCAAAAAGTACACAGTTTGGGTCGAAATAACTCGCGAACGGTAGAGAATCGAAGGTGCGTTACCATGCCAGAATGCTTAAATATGCTGGGTATGAAGATTTAACGCAACTTGATTTTTTCGATTTTCGGCGACGTATCAATACAAATGACACCCGAAAACTGTGCGTTCGGGGAAACTTCATTTGTATTTTTCTCAGGTTCCTTTGGTGGCTGGCATCTAATTTTTATTAAGTAAGTTAATATAGGCAGCAGATATGTACCTACAAAATTTAAGAATTTTTGAGGGTCTGGTTGAAAAGTTAGAGAGGAATGAAATTTTGTATGGAGAAATTTCGTAAATTTTTAATATTGAAAAAACCTATGGCGAAAACCTCAAAATCAGTTGTTGTGGAATACCTACGAGCCCGTTACAATCGCATAAAAATTGTAAAAAAGTTTTTGAGATCGATGAATTTTCGCGTTTTTCAACGACCCCCTGGTCATGGATTTTTCCAGGTCTCGAAACCCAACTTTGGAATAATATTGCTAAATTGCCAAAAGGGACTCAGCTGTTTTCTTTGCTTAGCTATGTAGTACTGGGGTTTATCTATCATCTACAAAATTTCGAGCTACCGTACCCTTTTGGAAGGGCATATTTTAGGGCCTCCAAAACGGTTCGTTCGTGATTTTTCCCAAACCTTGTCATCATTTTATAAATTTTAGCCGAGCCTGGAAAATTATCGTTTTATTTTTATCTGATACCATTTGAATAGCGCATCCTAAAGCTACTTTCATGTATTTTTTTAACCAGCCGTTGGCGAGGGAAAAATTCACCAAAAACCGAAATAAACCGAATTCGAGGGGACGTAAAAACTTTTTGGAAGGTGGAGTCACCAAGATATTTTGAGAATTAATTCTGCGTAACCAGTTCAATAAAGCTATGCAAAGATTAAAACAATTTCAAGTCGAAAAAATTTTAAGAAGAATTTTAAACTTGGCCTTTGGAACAGGGTGATTTTTGGTTTTGGGCTGAAAGTCACCATAATTTTGAATCAGATTGCTCCCGAATTTGTCAGGCGTAAATCAAAACATTAAAGCTGTAATCATATCCATAACATCCAGGAAGTTTTTTATTTTTAAAAATTCGAAAATTGACCCTGGCTACTCGGACCCAAAATCGGCTTTCTGGCCTTGCTTTGCACTTTGCCTCGTAACTTTGTTATTTACCACCGAAAATCAGTAATTTTTGACAGGCTATCTTACAATCACCTCTAGAAGGCCCTCGAATTGAAAAATCGTCACTTTATGGAATTTTGTGATGGCATGCTAAAACGCGCTCCACGGGGGTTACTGTAGAAAACCGAAATTCGCGATTTTCGTGGTATTTTTGCCATGGAATCGCTTCGATCTTTTGGTAAAACTAATAGTAGCAGTTTTTGGAACAAGTGGCCGAAAAATTTACAAAATTCTGTGGCAGGATTGAAAAATCAGTTTTTAGCCTTTTTCATGAATGTTTGTGGATAGTACGCTTTCGTATTTGGCAGCAAGGTGTCCCTACTTATTGCCCTACAACCCAGAAATTTTCAGCCGGATCGAAGCTAGGGGAGCCGAGAAAAGCGGGAAAAACGAAACCTACAGTACCCCACCGGGGCACGTTTTAGCAAGCAATACAAAAATACCATGAATTGTGGTGGAATCTGGTGTGGAATCCGAGATTAATATTTGGATAAGTCATTGGCAAAAAATCAGCCATGGGCAGTGAGTTAGAAGTGAGTTATGTCTCAAAGAATAAAAATAACGAAAAATCGCGAAAATTGATTTGCTTTTAAAAAATGAAATAAACCTCGGAAAATTCTAAGATTTTGCCATTACGTTTCAATGAATTAAAGCCATTTATGAGCGCAAAACCAGAATTTTCCCACCACCCATTCAAGAACGCACAATTTTCGGTCGTAGCCAGCGTCCATAGTACAGTTTCGTACTCAAAAATCGAAAAAATCAAGTTGTGTTAAATCTTCATACCCAGCATATTTAAGCATTCTGGCATGGTAACGCACCTTCGATTCTCTACCGTTCGCGAGTTATTTCGACCCAAACTGTGTACTTTTTGCTTGGCCCACCCTGTACAGAGTCCTGATAAGAAATCCTGGCCAGAGGTCGGGAGGAAAAAACTTCTTGGCGCGCCACAGAGACAATTTAAAAGATGATAAGATAAACAACATAGGAAATTACTAGCCACCCCTGGTGGCAGATGTTATAGAGGAAGGCCAGAATCAGGTCAAATACCTCTATTTGTAATTGCGACTACTTTAACGTTCCCCTGAATTGTCTCTCTATATATAATCGTCAATTATTCTAGATAAAATGTTTGCTGTAGATGGGTTGTCGGATGATCAGATCTCTCTACTACTCGATCAACTATCATTCAGCCATTATCTCATTCTACGGCATGTCAATCGACGATTCAGGTATTTATAGAGATCAAATCGCTTCTTTTATCCCTCTAAATAGGTCATGTTAATCAAATAATATTCTTGCAGAAAAGCCATTGATCGTCGATATATGATGCCGAAAAGGATAGAATATGCCTCGTGCTTCGGCAGAACAATTGAAGGAAACGACGAAGAAGAAGAAGATGGCCAGCCCGCGACGGCACAATCCCAAAAAGTTTGTTTCTTTTGAATTACGATGAGGAAGGGGGGCGAGCAGAGATTCTTTGATCAATTCAAATAAATCGGGGGCTCAAAGTAGATGCTGGCAATTGTATTTGCAGATTGTGGTGCGAGCTGCTCGGCTGATATTCGTGAATTACGAAG